AAATCCTCCTGCATACAAATATGTACCAAAAGTTGTGGAATCCATTAGTTTAAACCCCTATTCCTATGTTTAGTGATGTAATTAAGTATAAATGCAGGTTATGTTGATGGTTTATAATTGGTATTAATGATCGTCAACAAATTTTCCCAAGCTTAACCTTTGCCAGTCCCTGAGCAAAGCTAAACTCAGCAATAGATCAGGAGTTGTTACAATGTTTTCACGCCTCAAAACTACACATGCATTCAAACAAGAATTCTCCTCTGGATTAGAATAAACTGATCTGTCTTTCAAACTTACCCATATTACCTTCAACCATGGGACGTCTTAGCCTTCACTTGGGTCTTGAGTAATTGAAAGACAGAACGATCAAGTCAAGCACTATGTCTCAAGTTCTTTGTTCAACCATTGTTCTAAAGTTTTTATAAGTTTTTAAAATAAAACTCAGAGATTCTATTTTATGACACTCTCAAGTCTCTTAATATATGTGGTATTTATGGATTCTCACCAAGGCAATAAAGATGTTATGCCTTTTCTCTTCCTACTACTAAGACTTATGTGGAGTTCATAGGTAGGGAGAAAGCTAGAGCATACTTGTAATACATATATTAAAAAGTCAAACAATGGATCCAAAGAGAGTTGAGTCATACAATAAAATCAAGATGTGCATGTATGTGGAATATATGGTGGATATATATGGTGGCTAATTCTAATTCTATTTTGCTCCTTTAAAACTTATCTCTTTTTTGAAACTTGAAAATATTTGCCAGAGAACATGGACTATCTTCAGCCTGTTCGTTTGTTCGTAAACGATCGTAAATTTTCAGTCGGGAACAGTGTTTTTCTCTCACACCAAACCAGCCAGCAGTAAATAATCCACGATACGATACGGCCTCCCGAACAGGCTGCTTATTCATCTCTTTTTTTCTTCTTTTTTTTCTAGCAGGCATCTGAATACCCATTGTTTTATATATCTCAGACACTTGTCCATTTTTTTTAACTTTTTTTTATGAATAACTTTTGTATAGCTTCATGCCTCTTTTTTGCAACAAACTATAGCACCTGATTTTAAGAATAAAACTAGATACACAACATATGTGAGTTCAGGATATCAAATCTCATATATAGACACAAATAGAGGTAATATCAATAGACAATGATTAATATACAACATACTTAGTATAAATGATATAATCTTAGATAGCAACCAACGTAAAGACAACTCCGATCAACGGTGATTTGATCAATCCGGCTCACAAAGAGCTTTTCATCATGTTCATCTACTTTCGTTGTGCGGTGGTACACCATGCAACGAAAACAGGCGGTGGATCGGCAGCGGTAGCGGGCCTGTTCACTGGTTGATGTTGATGCTGGTTTGAACTGGCTGATACTAATTTTTGTAAGAAAAAAACATTATTAACTAACTGGTTTAGGCTGACTAAAACCAACCAGCGAGACCAACTTGAGCCACCCGTCCCGGCCACTCGTCGCGTCCAAAGTCGACATCGCCGATGCATGTGCTTCGCGGACCCCACAGCTACCAACTTTCCCTTTTCGCCGCCAATGACACGCGGCCCCGGATAGCACCGCTGTGGCCCACCTGCCCGCCCGGATCGAATCAGAGCAGTCCTCTGCCTACATCACCGCGTCCACTCGCCCCGCTGACCGTGGGTCCCAGGTCAGCGCGTGGCCCCACCAGTCTTCGGAGACCCGCAACACGACGCGCTCGTGACCGGGAGTCCCACCCGTAGCCCGTCGACACGCGTCGCCTCGACGCGTCGGCAACCGCAAGCGCGGGCCCCTCTCCACCGCCGCGGCAACTGGAAACCCCCGAGGGAGAGGGAGAGGGAGAGGAGACGCGGCTCGCTGACACGCGGGTCCGCAACCCCGGGGCCCACGCGTCGGTGACACGCGCCCGGGCTTTATAGCGCCGCTTCTTTCCCCCCACCGGCTTCCTCTGCTTCGCAGTCTCGCCCACCGCCACTCCCCTGCCTCCCCGAAAACCCCACCGCGCACCAAACCCTAGCGAGCGAGGCGATCGGCCACCGGCGACCGAGCGCAATGAAGACTCCCCCGGCGGCCCGCGACCTGGAGGCGGCCGTGCCCGCGGCCCCTGCGGCGGCGGCGAAGCCCAACACGGCGGCGGAGCCGAAGACGGCGGCGGCGGAGCAGCAGGCTCCCGCGGCGAAGAAGGTGGCGGAGGAGGAGGACCCGCGGCTGCGCTGGGCGTTCGTGCGGAAGGTCTACAGCATCCTGTCCCTGCAGTTCGCCTTCACGGCGGCGGTCGCGGCCGTCGCGTGCCTCGTCCGCCCCATCCCGCGCTTCTTCGCCTACGGACCCCCCGCCGCCGTCTGGCCCACGTTCATCGTCATCCTCGTTTCCCCGTTCATCGGTGCGTGCGTTTCCATCCCGCCTTCCCTCCTTCCGTTCCTAGGGTTTGGATCATAACCGTGGTTTTGTTTGTTTGGTTTGGTTTGGTTTGTTTGTGCAGCCATGTTCCCCATGCTCAAGTATAGGGAGAAGCACCCCAGGAACCTCGTCCTGCTGGCCCTGTTCACGCTCTGCTGCAGCCTCAGCATCGCCGTGTCCGCGTCCACCACTCTCGGTATGGGCAATTGATCCCTCCTCATCTCCCTCGTGTCGTTTGTTTCCTGTTGTGATGTGGATGGATGAAATTGGAATGCAGCGTGTGGTGAAATTCTGGTGGTTTTTGGGACCTAGTATATGAGTCATCTGCTTAATTCCGGTCTGGTATTTATAGGAGTAGTATGGATACAGTTCTCGTGGGTGTGAATTGTCATGGATCTGTGATCCTCCACCGTTCTGGGGAAATCATCATATGTTTGAGATTCTTAAAAGTACTGTTCCCTGTGAGAATTCAGGATACGGTTTTCATGTCATGGCCTCTGGAAGCTTAGAATTTCCCCTGTTTTAAGTTCCTGGCTGTGTTAGGGGGGTGCTTGGGGTCAACTTTTTGTAGTGGATCCTGTGTCGCCACGCCATAATGCACAATCCCTGCATTAGGGGCCTCTTTATGTCTGTGCAAATGGTTTTCCGTTTTATTTATTAACAGTTTCTACAATGTTATATACAGAACTAGGTTTGACGTAACACGCTGAAGGAATTTTTCATAAATTTTGACTGTATGCAACTATGCAAGTTTGATAGAATTGGATTGGATTTTGTTTTGGAAGGCAAAACTGGCACACACACCAATTCACCTTTTTTTGTAGCTATAGAATGAGCTTGAATTATTGTGCAATATTTGAGGAGAATCTGTGATATGGCTTTTTCAAGCAAGTTTTTAACCTTCGTATCTTGTTTTTGAGTATCTGTACACCTTTGCATGCATCAATTTAATATGCCAGCTTAGAAATCAGACGTGTTGCCAAGAATAAAGCAATAATTGATATTGTGTAGCCCACGGTTCAGTACAAATCTAAATCAAGTGTTAATCTGACTTTTTAAAGTATGGTGTAATTTATATAAAGGGCGTACCCAGTGCTGTATATTTATTTTAAAATATATGTGGTAGAATCTGGTGTTAATTTGGCTTTTGTGTTAATCAACCTTGTTGGCTTTGTGATAGTTTATTTGTTCCTTGTTACTTCATGACTATCTTGAAAAAATGCTTTAATCCTATGTTATATAGTTGCTTTCTGATGAGAACATTGCTATTTATTTCGTTTGTGTGCCTGTTATCAATTGGTATAGGGAGGCTGGCTGGGTCCTTTCTTAAAAAAAAACTTTGTAATTTCGTTGCTTTTAGTAATGGAATCTGATCCTGTGTTTCTTAATTCTGGTATCTAATGAAATACTACAATGCTCATGTTATATGTCAACAGGCACAGTGGTTCTGCAGGCCACCATCCTGACAGCTGCTGCTGTTGTGGGGCTGACCCTGTTCACTTTCTGGGCCGTCAAGAGGGGCTACGACTTCAGCTTCACCTTCCCATTCCTGTTCACCAGCCTCCTCGTGCTTCTGGTGTACATCACCATCCAGGTTCGCCCGTCTTCCTTCCTCTTCCTCTCAATAGATCCGTGCTCTCCCGTGTCACACATGTTTGGTTCGCGGTCTAATGTTGATCCACTGCAGATCTGCTTCCCGCTGGGAAGGGTGGCCATGACCATCTACGGGTTCCTGGCCACCCTGGTGTTCTCGGGCTTCATCGTCTACGACACCCACATGCTGCTCAAGCGCCACACCTACAACGAGTACGTGGTCGCCGCCATCTCCCTCTACCTGGACGTCATCAACCTCTTCATGGCCCAGATGTCGCTCTCCTGCCAGTGATCGACTGCCAGCCTCGCCTGACCCCCTCCCCTTGACGCCTCACCCGTCTGGTACATCGTGGATCACATCACATAGCTTCACAAGTCTAGCTGCCTCACATTATCCTAATATACTACTAGTAAGTACCAATAGCATTACATGCAGTCCTACAGAGCTGGAGAACTGATCTGTAATTGGCTCGCCACCCTCTAGCTGAGACATAGTATTATAGTACATATATCGTATATGGCATCGCCCTAATAGCGATAGATAATCGTAGACCATGAGATTGATCGTTCTTCGGCACCTGATAGCTGTGACTGTTATGGTATGATGCTGCTGGATCTGAAACCTTTAATGGAGATCCGAGATTACTCACTATGCTCAGTTGCATCTTGCTCTGCATGCAGGGGGTTGTTCCTGCCTCTGCTCTGTTGATTATCGCTTTCATCTAGTTCTTCAAGTCTTCAACGCACTTCAGAGCAGCAGAGGATATGACACTAGTATAGCTGCTTCAATTTATTCCTCTGCTAGAACGTTTAAGTTTATACACGCTCTAGTAACCCGATGGAAAAAATGGTACTCTACGGCTCCTGATGGTCAAGGCTACATGTAGGAAATATCCTGGAGTAGAAATAGAAATAAAAATTGCGTGAAAACTGTGTCTGGATTCTCGCAGCAGTGCTTTCTTTTGTCCCGTTCCTTAGTCCTGACAGCTCGTTCACTGGATCTACTGGAGCCCGTAGAAGGTGAGCAGCAAGAGCAGCCCGAGGAGCGTGTCAGCAGGCGCCGCGGCAGCAGCTCCGGCGCCGGACTTCTTGACGGTGAAGGAGAAGGGTGCAGGCGGCGACGAGCTCGGCGTGGACCCGTTGATCACGTCGATCCCTAGCCCCTTGCAGTCCGAGCCCAGCGAACCTGCAGCGGCACCGATCGAAACACCAGGCACCGGCGAGCCGGCGTCGTCAGTCGACTCACTTGTTGGTTCGCTCTGCAGCTGCAATCAGAGGCTTAAGTTTCAGTTTCAGAGGGAGAGGATATGGTTGCGTACAGTGTTGGTAGCACGGGTAGGAGGTGTCGTTGAGGAGGTTGGCCTAGCCGTCGCGGCAGCTGCAGCGGTGGGTGAAGTCGGACGCCTTCTCGCAACATCTTGTGGTACGTAGTGTATAAATGACAGTTTCCGGGCTGGAGGGAGCTGTTGCGTACGATCGAAGGTGGTTAGCGGCGGCAGCACCGCTGGCGGTGGCGGCGGCGATGGAGCCGGCGCCGGGGACGACGACGGCGACCCGTCCTGGCACGACGAGTGGATGGTGCCTGCATGCGAAGAGCAAGGACAGTCGCCGCAGTACTTTTTGCAGACTTGGTCCCAACTCCGATCCTCCTGGAGTGTTCCCCGGCCGGTGTCCGGCCGGGCTGATCCTGATGGAACGCCGCCAGAGCCGAGGTTGGTGACAACCCATCGTCGGCCGTGCCGCCGAGTGGGCGCGCATGGAGGCAGAGGCAGAGATATCGATGATGCGCAGAATCATTGGAGTCTTGTTCTTACAGTTTGGGATGACGCAGGGGAGGAAGGGGAACTGTACGGCGGCGAGGTGATAGCGGCTCCAGCCGGGCTTGCACTGGCACGCTGGACTCGCTGCACGTCCCCATCCCGCAGCTCACGTTGCCGCACACGCCGTCTGTGTCTGCCACACACAAACACAAACGGAGCATGCATCCAACACGTGAGAGGGAGGCGACGGATTGGAGACACGGACGGCCGGGCGCGCCTGAACTGAACACCGTCACGCCTTCGCGCGACTCACCTGCGGCGGCGGCTCCATGGGGGGCAGCAAGGCGGCGGCAGCGGCGCAGAGAGACGCCAGCGCGAGGAGCGGCCTGGCACGCCCCTTTGCTACCTCCTGAGAGGAACTGAGCTAGTAGGAAGCAATGCAAGCAGCTGGGCTAAAGTTTTGTGGGGATTAGTACAGTGACGGTAATGGGACTTGGAAACTTATATATAGGCTTTATTTCGTACTAGTTGCTGTGATTGGTCGGGCAGACCGATTAATACTCCACATGCTGCTGTCGCGGTAACGAGTCTGACGAAGAAACGCAGAGAGGAAGCACACGTACTGTATGTATGTTGTCCAGAAGGACGACCGTCAGGTTTGACATGCCGGCGGCTTCTCCAGATTTTCTCTCTAATATATAATGATCTGATAGTCTGTACCGAGTCATTTCGTGTTCTTTTCTAACTGTCGAACAGCAACAGCTGCTTGTAAGAGATACTAGAGATTTTCTTTTCTACTATATCAAGAATCTTGAGAAAATCAAGAAAAAAATGAGAAAAATCTTTCGTATTATCTCGTATCACTTGCACAAAGTATAGGTATTTATTATTGTATAAATAAATACATATACATATCATGTATATTATAATAAAATACATGAACAGAGAGTTGACGCACCCAAAAAATTATTATATATATCGGATACACTTGAAGAGGCTAAGTTCCTAGGTACCTAAATACGATCTCGTACGGGTGCTGTTTGTTTGGGGCCAAAAGGCCTGTTTTGTTGGTTCGGTTCACACCGCTAATAAGTTCCTTTTCTTGGCGTTTGGTTGGACCGAACTGCAATCGATCACACCACGAATGGATACCAGCCCATACAATTTCATTATTAGTCACCACCGAGCGCTATCTGATTCTACGGCTCCTCATCGGCATTTAAGAAGCCAAGTATGGTCCTGTTCTACATTAGCAGTACTTTTCAGCGAACAAATAATATTTCTCTCAAAACAAATCAGCATAAGCTAAATTTCAGCGAAACGGACAGGGCCAAATCCTGCATTCTCTTGCACTATAACAGATCCCACCGTTACTCATTTACATTAACGTTGTTGTTCCAATTGCCGATCCAAACAGCGCCTAAGTTATAACAACTCTCCCAAAACGACCTCTGCTAGCTAGACTAAGGGCCTGTTTGGATTTAGAATTTATTACTAAAAATTAGCAACTAAAATTAGTATTAGTGGATCCAAACAAACCTGTTAGTAACCTACTAATTATTAGTTGATGAAGGGCTGCTAACAATTAGTTCTATTAGCAGGTTTAAAATTGCCAATAGATGCTAATAATAATTCATATACATCTTTCAACTTTAAACCTGCGTGTTGGTCCATTCCGAACATGTTGGTCAAGAGTCTCCTACTAATTAATAGTGATAATGGATCTAAACATGCCCTAAGAGGACGAATATTTGGCATCAGGTCCGAACATGTTGGTCCATTCCGTCTAGAAACATGGAGACTCTTGACTGAAGCTGTGACGTGTCGCCGTGTTCATTGGGCTCAATATTGCCTGATTATTCCTGCTATATATCTTTTTTTTTGGCTCCAATCCTGATCGAACGAAATGAATGGGCGGCGCCTGACGAATGCGTGGCTCTCCTTGGTTGGTGTGGTGCTACGAGAAGGGCTTGCTGCTGCCTCTTCGTTCTCCTTTAGGCGATGATGATGCGATGGTCTCTGCTGACCAATGGAGGCATTATCGGCCATATGGAAAAGGTCACGCTCCGAGCAAGATTAAAGTAATGCGTTCGTTATTACAAGTAAAAATCAAACTTACTTCTTGGTGTTTCTTTTCTTGTCTATAGTGCGTAATTTCAAAATCAAAATCAAATCAAATCAAAATCAAACCAAATCAAATCAAAATCAAACCAAATAAAATCAAATCAAAATAAAAATCAAATCAAAATCAAATAATAAATAATAATAAAAAGTAAAAATACTCTAAACCCTTAAAAAAAGAGAAAGCCTACCACCTCTATCGTTTATAAATAGAAAAAAATGCAAGGCCTTATGGGCCCAGGCCCTATTTGTCCCAGGCTTAGACCTGAGGACCCCTCAGAACTGTCGGGCTAGGCTGGACGCAAAATGAAACAAAAAATATCCATTGGGCCATATATCCATTGGGCTCATTGATTATGCCAAACCATGTTTGAGCTCTACCGGGTCACACGTGATTTGCAGCTTGGTTAAGTTGACTGCATCTTTTAATTATTTTTCTCTTGATTTTTTTTTATTTTACGATTCAGACTTTCATTCATTCGTCAAGGAGGAGCAAGGTTACATTCTTCAGTCATCAGGTGATTGATGCAAGTTGGGGATACACCCAACCTAATATCACCCGTGACTTGTTTTGCTAACAAATTAGCGGCACTATTACAAGATCGATTGGCATACACCAAATTAAAATCAGTAAAGCACAAGCTAAGCTCCCTAATCTCTCTGAAGACCGATGCCAGGGCGAACTGAGCATAGCTCAGTTCGTTGGGTTCCTTATGGCAGAAGCTGCCCATCCGAGTTCAAGTTCCCGACTTTGACACGGGTGCTCATATTTTCCTAGATTTATTCTAGGTTTTAACAGCGCTATTCTTTCAGTGGTAGGCGACGTATCCGTCGACAGCGAGGCGCCTATGCAGTCTGTTCGCTTGTTGGTTTCAGCTAGCCCAAACCAGCCAGCCAACAGTGTCTTCCTCTAAAAAAAAACCAGCACCAGCCAGCCCAAATCAGCACCAGCACCAACCAGCGAACATGCCCATGGTGACTTCGTTAATCTCGATATTTGTCGATCCAACTCGGTTATTCAGAGGTGCTCATAGAGGTAGGGTGTGCCTACGTGCGTTCGTAGAGGTGAGTATGCGCTCATGTATGTAAGCGCATACGTCTATGACTGGGTCTCGCAAAAAAAAAGACCGATGCCAGGTAAGATATTTGGAAGCCCCCATGCCCACAGGTTGGCCAACTCCTGGCAATTAGTTTTAAGAAGCAGTCTTGATCAATATTTTACTAAAGGGTAGACGGTCTTTACATGGTCGTTCTTCGTTTAGCGTTTAGACTGTTTACACGGTGTTTAAACGAAGTTAAACGGTCTAAACAGTTTTGTACTTAAAAAAATACATATAATTATATATGTGCATGTAAAAAATCAAGTATTCTAGCATTTATACATATTTATCCGAGTACAAATCAATTATTTTGGTATGTATATATATTTATGCATGTGAAAAGAACTAAATATAGATATTTATGCACGTAACATATCAAGTGTACACATTTATAAATATAATAAACTTAAGTATATAAATTTATCCATACAAAACTGAACTAGATTTACCTCGTGTTCGCCTAAACAGAAACAACAGTTTAGCCCGTTTAATACTGTTTATCTTCGTTCCATTTAGACCGTTTAGATAATATTTTTCTCTCACACAAAACCAATCTAACCGTACTTTCAGCCATAATTTATAAACAAACGAGCCCAAACGAACAGGGCTAAGGGCCTCCATCGTCATTGCATCCGATCCACGGTCATACCATCGTGCTCGCCCTTCTATGAAATTCCCGGCCGAGTAGCGGATAACAAAACCTGACTTCTGCATAAAAAGCAAAATCGACATTAAAGGCGAGAAAAGAAACTAAACATAGCTAGGAAATTAAACTTCTTCTTGTAATAAGGAATTAAAGGAGTAGAATAGCATCTCGGTTAATGTAAGCATGCTGTATATAGAACATGAAGCAGCTGGAATTACGATAATGATCTAATAGGGACGTGCGCGGGCCCTCCCTCTCAGAAACAAAAAAATAAATAAATCCGCACTCCGTTGTATGCTTATCCGCTCGGCCTTGAAGCAGTGTGGCCACTCATCCGCCCACCCTATCCCCCATGCGCTCGTCGGGCTACCGCGCCATGCCCTTCCTCCAATCGCTAGTCGTGCCGCGCGCCCTCACTCCCTGTGCCGCTCACTTGCGTCCAAGTCACCTGCGCTGCTCGTGCCCTTGCTGTCCGTCATTCGCCCATCGCCATCGGGAGCACCGTTGACCCCGCCATGGCCGCTGGGGCGCACGTGCCATGGCGCCGCAGGTCTTCCTCGGCCGAGCCAAGGTCATTCACGAGCGTGGGCGGTGCTGGTGGTGCTCAGGCACTGCCGCTCGCCGCAGGATCCCACCCCGATGATCGGAATCGATCGGCCCCGGCCTTCCCTCCCCTATGATGCAAATGTATTTTTCAAGTGTCTCAGAGATATATTGCAATTGTTACATATGGATGTTGAAAAAGTAGATCGAGATATTGTACGTGTTACATATTTTTACAAGTGTTTTCAGTGCTATGTTGCAAGCATTTTGAAAAAAAATGTTTTATCTGCTTCAGTCGTATGTTGCAGAAGTGTTTAATCTGGATGTTGCATATGTTTCGCACACATGTTGCAAGTGTTTTATCTGGATGTTGCATATATTTCACACAAATGTTGCAAGTATTTTATCAAAATATTGATATGTTTCACACATATGTTGCAATAGTATGTTTCAAATACTTTATTTGTGTCCGACGACCTATGTTGCTTTCAAGTGTTCCATGTTGTAAGTGTTACGGATGCATGTTGAGTGATGGGCATATGGCCCGAGCATTGTGGGATGGGGTGTGGTAGAGCTGGGCACCGGCAGATGGGGGCGCAGCGAGCTAGGGCCGGGTCCTGGGTCCCACCTAGGTGGAGAGAGAGGAGGGGTTCAGGGGAAGGAGCAAGGTGTAGGGGGGGGGCATGGTGAGCGTTAAGTTGAGGGTGGGCTGCGCGGCTGTCCATCCGGGCATGAGAAGCGGCAGGCGCAGCATCGAGGTAGCATGCAAAAATTTCCAATGTTTGGGCGTTGGCCACGTCGCTGGAATTATCGTAGCATGCAAAATTTCCCAAGTACAGCTAGAGCACGCGACTAGTACTACTAACAAGCAAGAGATGCCTACATAGTCGAGAGTCTACGGATGTCAAGTCGAGTTTTCAC